TTATGTATATTGTTTGTATTTGCTTTATCAGATTATGTTGAGGGCTATATTGATTAAGTGCAGTGATTGCAGATAATGAATCTGAAAATATTAAAAATTTGTTATTATTGAATTCAGATACATAGCTTATCGCCATCTCAATAGCAATGATCTCTGCCGTAAAAATTGATGTATAGTTTGGAAGATGTTTCATGAGCTTATGTATAATCTTTGATTGCTGGTAAACAACTATTGCTGCTGTCGTTGAGAACTCCTTTTTTGAGCCATCCGTATAAATTTTTGTGAAATTCTGATTTTTATGGATTTTTTCTCTAAATAAAATTTTTGCTTAATTTTCATCTTTTACTGTTCTATTTATACTGATATCAACATCCGGATACAGCAATAGCCAAGGCGGGTGTTCATAATCCATTTCTTTCAAAATATTAGTTTTGTTATGACCTTTGATATATTCATTAAGTCTTGCTGGGAATGTTTGTATAGCTTTTGATTTTATTTGATGATTCTGGTTTATAAATTTGTAGTTCTGATTTTCTGGCTGAGACCTAACTTTTAAATAATAATTCAATGCTAACTTTTGATGTCTAAATGTTAAAGGCATCTCCCCAGAAAAAACATGTAAACTGCTAGATGGCGATGTTCTGTAAACTCCCAAGACTTTTCTTAATGACTCGTTCATTATTGGTTGAAGAATTTTCAGATATGATTCCCTTGTTGATCCGTAGACCGGACTAGCATAGTCTGTTATTGACCTTATCATTGCTTGATAGATTGTCATTAAGTGTTTTTGGTCTGAACCCCAGGTATGATGAGATAGAACTTTTAGAAGGTTGAATGCTTTTAAATATTTTATTTTGGTCTGTTGGATGTGCGGAATAAAATTAAGTTTGGAGTCTAAGATTATTCCCAAATATTTATATTGCTGAGTAAATTCGATGAAATTTTCTTGAAATTTTAATTTTGGATATATTTTTTTTTCGTTTTTTTTTTGAGAATAGGATGGCTTTTGTTTTAGATTCTGAAAAATTTATTCCATGTTCAATTGCCCATTTTTCTAATGAAATCAAAAATCTGTTTATTTCTTCCTTCATTATTTCAATATTTTTATTTCTAAAAGTTATTATTATGTCATTCATATACAGTGAAGCTATTGCTTTTTTTGGAATTATACTTGTTATGCCATCCAAGAGTAAGCAAAACAGTTTTGGTGAAAAAATGCTTCCTTGAGGGATGCCTAACTCTGGATGCATTACTTCAGAAAATATATTATTAATTTTTACCTGAAAGGATCGGTTTATTAAAAAGTTTTGAATAAATTTGGGTAGGTTTCCTCTTAATCTTGCTTGATGTAGTACTCTAGTAATTCCATACCTCCAGGCTTTATCATAAGCTTGAAACATTTAGCCAAACTGAGGGGTAAACACAAACATTTATCAATCAGTTAATAGTAAAAGTTATCGAGGTTTTCGGCAATATTAAGGACAAACGTTACATATAACAATATATATTAATATTATTACAAAAATTTAAGTTTTTTGGAGAATGTCAAAAAATGCCCTTCTGTGCAAGTCCCATAAGCTTATAAGTCGAGCGCGAGAAACAAACGATAGTTTTCAGGCTATTATCAACGGGCTATTATCAATTATACAATTACACATATACATGCATACATATATGCATATAGGCATGCACACTTACATACATACATAGGGTACATGAATACCTATATCCATACACACATGCATACATGCATGCGCTTACATGTGACATTGTCGAAAACAATAAAAATTGTAAAAGTTATTTATGAATAGGAATTATAAAGCGAGAGAGAATAAATTATTAGGTAGATAACACTGACTCAAAACTGCCATTAATTCTAATTTCAAATCATCGATCACCAACTGAATTTAACTCCGTGTAAGGCGTGTCCTGGTTCATCTGCCATCAACCAATATCATCAATTCTCCATTACCTTCTTACATTTTTATCGTCACCTGGCACATAATTCATTTATTCATTCGTTCGTTCGTTCATTTATTCATTCATTCATATATGAATTTTAAAATTTTTATTACTTATAGTCAAATTTAAAAAAACTTACTATTAAATTTACCTTGTGTAGACAACACTTTAAAGCAACTAACTCTATATAAGCAGAACTAAAGAAGGAATGGCGACCTTGACGTCATCCATGTTGTATATTCAGGATCTAGGCATTCGTTCATTCGAACAAACGCCCGGGAGATACAAATAAGATTGGAAAATATTGAAGTGGCTAGGACTAGCGTTTTCTCTTTCTTATCAACAGCCCGAGTTGCATGATGTTAAGACGATCTCAGGATATACTCTGTATGTACATTGCGCCTTGCAAAATTTCCTGTTAATTTTCACCTCACATCTCACGTAAGAACCTGAGTACGACAAAACTTCTTAAAATACTAATTGGTATTTGTTACTAAGACAAACTGTCGAAAGTCTAAATGAGAAATTAAATGCAGCCTTGCAACATATACTGTGACATTACATAACCCTGAGCTTTTTATAAGAAAAACTTTCCAAAGATGTTACTATGAAAAGAACTGAGTCCAGTTGTTTGGAAGAGAAAAATCAAAAATTATTCTGAAAAAAGCTTACGATTGGCAAGATAAATCAAGTGATGGTATATGGCAGATTAAAAGTTAAATATAGTTACAAAGAATAATTTAAGATATGTGGCAGTAGGTCCAACAAAATGTTCAACAAAAACAATTGATGAAGATTTTCCAATTACTTAGTTATAAATATCATTAATTTTATTATTAATTTAGTAATTTTACAAACAAACAAATAAATAAACAAACAAACGAAAGCAGGCAGAACACACATTTGTATACCGGTGTAACATATTCTGACTTCGCCAAACAAAACACAAAAAAATGAAGTTAACAAGCAAATTTTTAAAATTAACAGACAACTCCTAATTAGAACTCTACTTGAAAATTTTTTCTCCTTCCGGGTGTTCACGTGTCGGCTCGCTAGCACGCTTGCCTGCACGGCGTTTGAGCGATAACAACAACTACAACTTCAAAAGTCATCAAGAAATTTATTTTTCAACTGTTTTAACAGCTTAAACAAAATCGAAAATAATAATTTAATTAATATTAATGATATTAAAAATAATAACAATATTATTATTATCAAAAATATTATTATTATTAATACTGTTGTTAATATTAAAATAAAATTGAATAAAATTCTGTTTGATTTCTTTCACGTTAATTTATTAAATACTACCTAAAATTTATTTACAAATTTAAAGTTTATAAAATAAGTCATATGGAAAAAACTCAACTGATTTAAGTTATTTACAAAGTTATGCAAACATAAAGTTGATATTTTCATTTCCAGGCCCAAGAAAGGACATGAAAGGGACAGATAATATGCCGGCATTAATACTGCAGCCGTGCAAATTATTGCGAAAACAAAAACTTCGTGCTAAATGTAAAAATTAAATTTGTATGAAAAATTAAAAAAAAATTTCCCTTTAATGTAAATAGTTATTAGATAGATTATATATATCTAATATATTTATATGATATATATATATATATATATATATATATATATATATTTCATAAATTCAACACTACTTTCAGCATTGTTCAAGTTTTTTATATTTCTTGTTAATTTATTAATATCAGAAAAATTAAACAATTTATTGTTTTAAAAATAAAATTTAAATTTTTTTTTAAAACAATAAAATGTCTAATTTCTTATATATTACCTTAGTTGCCTATATAAATATATGACCATACGGAATATCAGATAAATGGATTTCAAAGTTGCAGGTAGCACAAAATTAGGCTGCAAAGATTATTGTTGGTGGTTTGAGGTTTGACCATGTCTTTCCAATCTTATGGAAGTTGCATTGGCGGCCTATAAAGCAAAGAATCCGGTTCAAGTTTGGGTAATGGTGTTCAAATGCCTATATAGTCTGGCTCCTAGGTACCTATCGGATAAATGCATAAAAATTTCTTCCCTGGAAACTTATAGGCAACTAAGGTCTTTCAGTTCAAATAAATTATATTTACAGAAAACAAATTTGAAAACTTGTAATCGAGATTTTGCCGTTTTGTATATACGATATATATAAGATATATTATTTAAAAACATTGTTTACAAAAACTTTTGGCAGGGTGAGTTTGGAAAATTTTTTTTAATAAATTGAACAATTTCCAAAAAATTCTAGAATAAGAAAAATTGTAAAGACAAACTTGAAAATTGGTTATTTCCAACAATTCATCAAGAGATATGACACCG